CAGGCGTGTCAGATCGTCCTTCGCTCTTCTGACGAAGAATTAACCAATGAACTGGAGCTTGTGAATATAATAATAAACTGACAGCAAATGTGCTCCGCAGGATGAGGTATTTCATAAAAATTTTGCGATGAAGAGGGTTGAATGAAGTATTCTAAGAGTCCAAATCCTAGGAGTGACTTTTAGTTTATTGAGTCAGGTTGGTGGGTTCTTTCACAACGGAATCGAAGTACACCTTAACTGGACTCAAGGGCATCATCTTAATCAAACAACAAATACTTAAAGTCACTGTCTAAATCAATACCTCCGTTCATAAATCCAGCGGGTTAAATGTTTATAACTTCGTGATGACCTTGGAAGGCTATGAAATGTCTTTCTCAAGTTCCTTCAAATTATTTCCGATTAACTGCAGCTCATGCCCCTCTACCTAAGTTAGAAAAAACCTGTCACTTATTTTTGACATTTTGAGATTTATAAATCAACTTAAATTTAGAAAATGACATGCACTGAAACTAAATAAAAGAAAAGGGGGATAGGTGACCCCTTTCTGCTGCATATTTAACAGCGTTTTCATAAAACACAGTCTGCGCATGCTGGAATGTCCATTACTTCGAGTGCAATTCTTTGCAATTTCGTTAGGCTTTTATGTTTTCTAAAGATCTGAATCTGGTTGATACTCCCTTCCCGATGTCTAATGCATTTACCATATTAAATAAATTTATTTCTCACCATGTCTTTTGCACTTGAGATAGAGCTTCTATAGCAAACGTGGCAGGAAACTGAATGACTCTTTTTCATTTAAAGTGAATGTTTGGTCTGTTGCGGTACGTAAACCGAGACGACGGCTAAGTTGTGAATTGATATATATATATATATATTCTTTGTCAGGGACTATCCCTAAGCGGTATCACAAAAGTTAGAACTTAACAGGGATAAATTGTCCTACACCTCAAACTCGTGCCACTTCTGACCTCTTACCTACTTTTTTTATGAATCATAAACTAATGGTGATCTTTTGACATTCGATGCAATTTTAGCCCAATTTTGTAAATATTTAATTACAACTTGCAACCCTTGCATTTTAGCGTGGCTGAGCTTACTCCAGTTGCTTAAACCTACCGGGTGCACCGTAATTGTGTAGAAAAAGCCAGTTCAAATGTTTGTACAAATATAACGCAACTAGCAAGATAGGCAAATTGTTCACGTATTGTTAAGAGTCTGGGCGCTTTGTCTGAAACAGAGTCCTTCACTACATACGCAAATAACTTGTCGGAAATTTGCTAAGGTTTGGATTAGCAAGACCTTCATTATAGGAGATTCCGAAATGTTACATGCCATAATAGGAAGGAGGCACAAGAAAGTGCATAGATGTATTCTTAATTCGTACATTTATGAAAGTAGAATAAACCAAGAATTAACTTAAAAATGTAAAATAAAAACCTTAGAGTATGGATGTGAACGGCATGAGAAAATTATGCGTCCGTTTGTTAATAAATCAATCACTTTCTTATCCCGCGTGGTTTAAATACGTTCACTTTTTACGAAGGCCACCAGAATCGGTTCTTTAAAGTGTTTCCAATAAGTTGTGCACACATCATGAAAACTGCTTTTACCTGGGCAGTAATAATTCCCTTCATCTAAGCAAAACGCCTTTAACCCTCTTGGCGGAATTTAATGTCCAACATTTTTATCAATGTAGGGAAGGCTTCGGCTAGAAGTATGGCAGATTATTCCTTGCAATACCAGACCCAAAATTACCAATATGTTTACGTCAATGCATAGACTTGTGGAAAGTCTAAGTCGTTTTTTATTATAATTAACATGTCTTCATGTGTGCCTGGAAAATGACGGGAAATAGAAAGGTTCATAAATGTTGTATGCGTAACTTCTACGTTACCTAAGTGAAACCGTTAATCCATGGGAAATGCAAACTAGCCAAAATACCCGATCGCTTTGCCGCGAAGATTCAAAAACATTCTATTGTGAACCCGGTTACGTTTTGTCCCTAACTATTAGTACGGGCAGCCTCACGTTGTGCTTTGTCTTCCAAGAACTCTGGCATTAATTATCGTTGAGGTCATTGATGTTAAAATGGCATTAGGATCTCACCTGAACGAATGTATCCTACTTAACCACCGTGTATCCAAGACCCTCAAATCTCCAACTGCAATCCATGAGACAATCTCAGGCCCTGGCCTAGGCCTATTAGGAGGTTCCTGCGAGCAATCCTTGCAAACTTCGGCTAGGTTGTTCCTGAGACCACTGGTGGTATTTGTGTGGGTGTTTTGTTTTGTTCATTTTCGGCGACCAGACCGTTACCCACAGCCTTACTTGGGTGTGTCTGCCCACTGTAAATCTTTGGCTTTTTGCCCATCCTAATGGCACGTGGAAGACGTCAACTCACTTCGACAAGCGCGTATGCCGTGGGTTTGTGTTGTGACGCAGTTAAAGTTGAAATCGTTTTTTTTCTCATTTTGAGGACCTTTGCGTTTACCTTTTGATACATCTTATTCAGCCTGTTTTTTTCTATTTATCAACATTCGTTTTTGCCATATTATAGTGGAAAATAACAACACTGGTAAAATAATGGTGGCAGAATTGCTCTGGCTAATCAAAAGTAATCTGCGTTATTTCGCCTTCGGTCGCATTGTCAACAATCCCATTTCACCTAAGCCCGCCGGATGTGGAAAAGTGAATTGTAGGTTCGGGACGTTCAAAAGAAATAAAATTAATGCATGAGCCTTCGGTCAGCAAACGTAAATACATAAGAATTGTGGGAGCAAGTGTTTTCCAAATGCAACACTATGTGGCCAAAACTGTGCACAAGAACAAAACTTTACTGGCAGGTTCAATGTAACAATGCTGCGCTCATTTGTCGACAGAGGTTTTATTGCAACTTCATATTTTCCCTGGGTTTTTTATCGGAGACCTCCCAGGTTGTAATTGCGAATCCGCTGCAACTAGATTTATAACTTATGCGCACAGGAAGGCAAACGTCCAAATGTTAAGCATTTGCGATCGATCTCCAATCATTTTGTCCACCCAACACTTTCGGCGACACAAGGATATTTAGTCCGGATATAAAATATACGCACTAAGTACATCCGGTTTTATTAGCACAGCAGAAAACAAAATTTAGGAATAGAGCACTAAATGTTGTTGCATCAATCTTCCACCTAGTATAAGCCATGGTAGTATTCCAGTGCAACCCAATTACTCACAGTATTTGTAATACCATACGCAAGACACGTTCAAGTGCCAATTAATCAACGTTTATTGCTGTTGATGAACACCACTATGTGTTTGCATGTATTCCCACCCCTGTGTTGGCTTAACTAGCCGTTCCAAGTTGTTTTCCCCCTCAAGAGGCAGAAGTAGAGAGGAAAAACACCGATTTGTCTGTCAATGGCCAATGGCATTGCGTCTCCAACGAGGAACGTTGTTCACTAAAACAAGTCTAATTTAAACAAATAAGACTAAGAGATTTGTTAAGAAACCAATCTTCACAATTTACGGAATTTTGTACAGATATAGGTTACTCATTAGAAACATAATAGGGAGTAGTTAAATTTTTTGCTAAGTTGGAGATCGAGGAAGAAAAACTACGTAAAATAATAGTTTAGACAGTCTGTAGTCCTGAAGATGATTAATGAAACAATTATTGAATAGATTTAGTTCCCATTAGTTCTATGCTTATTTCTGGTATTGGAAGGAGGAGCAATTAAAGAGATATTAGAGACTTAAGAGGATTTACCAGCTTTCAAAGTTTCTACGAGGCCTGTTGATGCTCGTACATGTAAAAGTGTGAACTAAAATCGATTTTCGAACCCGTTCTACGTACCAGTAAGGAAATTTTAACAGTACTTCACTTACCAGCATTACACAAGACACTATCAAGATTTGGAAAATGGGGCTTGAGATGACACGGGATCACACGGGCTAGTCAGAATTATAAACCATACCAGTATGTATAGAATAATTATTTTATGCATGATGTCATGAGTACCCCAAATTTGTTTGCTTTATTTTTAGGTAGAAGTAGTCTTTTAAAAGAGTCACTTCATTACATAAGATTGACTAGGATGTGATACCCAAGCGAAGCTAAGTGTACTTTAGAAAAAAACTGCCCTTTGTGACTCAATTGATTGGGACATTGGCCATATCAAAAGGTTTGTGATGTAAAGTCACCATTTCACATTAAGTCCAGGCAAAAACATGGAGCGAATTCGAAGAAAGGTGATTTAATAAAAAGTGATCTGAAATAATTAGCCGAAGCTTCACGTGATCGCAAAGTAGCAGTGCTTTCTCGTAAAAGCCAAGCTCAAATTTTCAGTGCTTTGGTGGCTTGATGAGGAAAAGCCTCATAACCATATGAATAGGTAGCTTTACCCGAAATCCCCTACGTGTGCATCTGATCTACAGTGTTGCATTTGTCTCTATGCTGATAACATATCAGTGTTTTCACGTTCGAGCATGCACCAACCTAATTTCATCCGTATTTATTATTTCCATGACGTAGTAATTGGATTTATACAATTTTCTAAGGACTTGATCAGCACAAACCAAAACTGTGGGATTCAAAGTTAACCGTCCAAGCTGGGAACAAACTACCATGCAAAACCCTTTGCAGATACTATGAGTCATTTCCCAACTATCAACTCAGTTTAATTGTAATAGAAAACAGTGCTTATCTTTTCCCTCAACCTCTACGTCAAAGTAAATCGACAAGTTTGTTTACTTGCCCACTAATTGACTTAATTTATCCTACTTGGTGAACGTAAAAGACAATTTATCTTGATTTTAATAACGCACGTTTGCGATTAATCTAACCAGGCATTTCTATCAAGAACATATGGCGTGTGACTCCGTTTAACATACCAGATTATAAACTGCCTAGCCGTCCAAGAAACAAAACAAAAGCCCGTTTCGCATTGCCGACTGAGATGTTATCACCCCAACCGCAAGCAGCGCTCCCTTAGAGCTTACACGGCTTCATTAAACAACTACGTTTTGTGAAAGTGATGGAGCTTAAGAGCACGATGTTTGCTTTGAATGGACTGTTGAACACGTTCGGCATAGGCAGTCTCGTCGAATACGTAAGTGTGGCGGTTGTGTCGAGATAATATCTGGCGGAAGAGGCCCTCCTCTTCGTCACCCGCACGGACGCCACCACCGCCTCCGCCACGGCAGTCGTCTGTTGCACCAACGTCACCTTCAGGTACTTCATCCTAGGAAACAAGATCAAGAAACAGTCCCAGTGCCACCCAGGATCTGGCCTAAAACCTACGCAGGAAAAAGATACATAGATTTTACCTGTTTCCACCTTGGTTTTGTTAGGTGTCATTGTGTTTGGGGGACTATTGCATTAACCCTATACGATAAATGTTCTTGACCGGAGAGTCACTGGTCACTGATGAAATCCTTTCACCATTTCATCCGTTCACAATACGTGAATTTGCATTGCACGTAAAATCCCAAGTTGAGAAATTTAGAAGCATTGATTATTTTAATTCTCAGAGATGCTAGGTGGCACACAAGAGGTGTCTTGAGTTGTGACATCAACTTGCTTTAGAGGCGACGGCCGAACCCCAAATCTCATAAGTTCATAACAAACCCAAAATCTGGCAGAATATCCCTTAAGCTATGTCAATGCAAAATCCAAATGAAAATTAAAATCCTAACAGTGGTGAGGCTTAAAGTACTTTAATTATACAGTCACTTCATTAGTTCAGGTTAAGATCTTTGAGCAGGAAAGTTAGTTTGGAAATTACACGGAATCACTATATAACAAATACCATACCTTAGTTTCCCTCCAGACCTCTAACTTTGCATTTCTATGGAAAAGATATTTGTTAAATTTTTAGAATACATACTTTAAACGTAACTGCCCGTTACCCCTAGTCTGTGGACTTAAAATTCGTCCTGCTTGGGACAGAAGAAACTCCATTATCTTTGTGACATGTTTGAATACGTTACAGGGTAAAAACCAGACCCAAAGGAGTGCATCTTGCAGCGATAGAATCAAACCACGGGTCTGGAGGGACATGCCCCTACATATTATATAATAGTTAAACCAGTGTTAATATTGGTACTAACACCGCTCACGCGTACCTGTGATAAATAGGGGCCTTCATTCAACTAAGGAAACCCTTTTGGAAAATTAAAAAAGAGAGCCTACTGTAAAATACTAGTAACATACGTATGTTGGCACTCCAAGACTTAAGACAATGGTTCGACAAATTACCCAAAATTAAATGATTACTATGTCATTTTTGAGCTTGCGTACCGAATCTTTTCAGAGAGTTATCCTTTAAACCAACAAATTAATATCAAATCCAACCGTCAATACAAGGGTTAGGCACTAAACTCTCGAATACCAAAAAGAAAAAGATCAAGACAGAAAAAAAAGACCAGCAAAAGAGGTACGAACCCCCAAGTACAATGTACATATATTTGAAAAAAGAAAATATTTATTAATTTCGTTGAAGACCTTTTTGTACCAAACATTTACGGCTTTTCAATGTGCTCTATATACACGAAAACTTTAGTTTAGTATAGCATACTAAACTATACCATACTATCTACCACTACGAGATTTTGGGGTGGTTTGTGGTTAAACTAAAAGGATCAGGCTGTCGAGTCTCCAGATAATGGTCTTTTGTGAAAGTGCGACAGATGTTCCAACGTTGTTTAGATCACCTGGCTCGAAAATCCTAACCCATGATTTGACTATCATTTAGAAAACTTGCCTCACTAACTCCTCTCTCGCCGTAGGCTCAACCAAATTACTCAAAGCCGAACTGTCGTCAAAATTGACGGATGGGAGCGTTTATGTAAATAAAGCCGGATAAATTTCGAGAAATCGATCGCGTCTAGAAGAGCACTCCCACTTTTTATACCCTTGTTAATCGACACCTGCAGTTTTACAGCCAGAATTCTTTTAGATGTCATCTAAATTCACCACTGCATGTCTCACATTGTTTTTTTCACACAGACACGCTAGTTACGTCAGATTAAATTTTGCTCCAACCCATCTCCCTAAATACAAACATTGCTATAATAGGGTTTCCACATTTTCTTGACAGATTAATATGAGTACATCTGCAAATTTGTCTGTCCCATTTGCATAAATTTGTTACCATAATGACACGCCCTGCACCTAAATGCTAGAAAACTTGTTATATATTGATTTTGGATGTTTTGCTGAATTCGGATTTCTCGGGAGAAAATCTGAACATGACCTAACATTGAAAAAGCGAGCCACTCATAAGTTTAAAAATGCATGTAAGCATATCGTTGTGGTACAGTTTCTACATTTACAAGCACTTAATATCAAGTGACTGTCCTAATGGTGTCCAAAATTGGTCAGAGTAGGTTAAAGGGACGTATAGTTCCTTAATAATTATGGGAAGATAATAGCTTACTTCATCCTGTCATAATAAGACCTGGTAAATTCGTCTGTTGCAAAGCTAGAATCTATGATGGTCACTCATGCAATTATGATACAATAAAGAAGTCAAATGCTATTGTAAGTAACTTACTGCAGAATTTGTTTCAGGTTCTGGTGATTCTAGATTTGCCTTGCTAGTACAACAGGCTTTCTGCTTCCAAGAGTGCCGGGTTACATTTCGTTTAGTTCCACGCGGCTGCTGGATTGAATTAACGATTACTTCCTTTTCGCATAAAGCGTCATGGTAACTCTCTTCCTGAGCCTCCTCCCATTCAGTACTCTCCGGCGAAGATATTCCTCTAGATGTTTCGTAAGAGAAAGCAGGCGCGTGTGTCGGCGTCGGACGAGCCAAGCTCAAATCGTTTTGTCCCCCGGCCGACATGTCTGTCGGTTCGGAAATAAAGTCGATGTGGTGCAAGGAAACATGGTGAAGCGGCTTGAAAACACCTTGCTGCTGTAAATAGAAGGCCTTCTTGAGTTGTGGACGAAGTTGACGAAGGTGAAACTGAACGGAGCTCCGGTCCCTCGCCACACTGGCGTGGTGAAGCGCCAAGGCAATGTCAGCATAGACATCAGCGATCTCATCGTGCTTGTTTGGATCACGCAGCAAAAGGGGCCGAAAATACCTAAAATATTTGTAATTGTTAATAAAGTTTGCTTCCATGTAGAAATACGATGAAACCCAAATCTGAAATTGAATAAATTGTTTTTTCTAGAGCCTATCTTCAAATAAATCAGCTACTGTCTTCGACGTCATAAAATCAGCGCGGCTGGAGGTCTTTTTTATTACAAATAATAAATTCCGCTTCCTGTCTCTTACCAACGAGTGCAACATCAATTGATCCCTATGGAATTCAAACCGCCTGACCCATAAACATCAAAATAGAAACTTTGAATCTCCTACAAGCTTTGCTGAATATTTGATTGTAATTTTAAAGCCAAAGAAACTGGGTATTACTGCATGCTTTTCTTTCAGGATGCATGTGTTTTAGAATAAGAAAATTTTCGATTAAATTATCAAACACCACAATTTGTTAAAAGGTTTATTGATGATTTAAAGCGAAGTAATAAAATGTCGAAAATCCTCGAGAAAAGTCGCACCCTTAGAATATGCGAGTGCCCAGAGACACATCCGATATAGTCTTTGCTAGTTTTAAAGCCGGGGATACAGGACCCAGTACTCAATTGAAGGAACTAATTCACAATCAGTAAAAACCATACTGACACCATAAACGCAAATAAACTACTCACAACTACAGAAAGCTTATAAACAAAACTGGACTTAATCGTTCTAAATTCACAGTCCACCTCTAATATGTAGTTACACTTTTTTCATTTAGGAAATCGTCGCAGTCTTAGATACAAAAGAAACTAATAGGAACTAAAGACACGAATCGCTGCTGTCCTAGATTCATGAATACTGGCCACTCGGGATGATATTATCTGAAATACTAGTGATCAGGTTTCAGATTAAGACTTTATTTAAAATGAATCATGCTAATGTTACCCGGCCTGTGATTACCAGAGATATTTGCCAACCTTGTTTACTTTCCTGTCCTCATTGGATAGTCCGATTGTTTGGTATACAGGGACTTACTTGCGTTATCAGTTAAAGATTGCGCATAAAGTTTGTCAATATCAATTTTTTGAATAATATCGTAATTTCTCCAAAGTAAATTTATTTAAACTGTAGCGTCGACTGTTTTAAGACAAGTAACAGTAAAAGTTTCCAATACTTTGAAAACGTGTAAAACGTGGAGAAATTAAACTAAAATCACGAAAATTATTCAACTATGCCACTTTTTCCTGTTACTACAATATGTATTTTCATTTCTAAACAGAAGAATAGCTGTGACAATAGGAACCTCTATAACTCTCAAATCAAAATGAATAATACGCCTACCTTCTGTACAATTCTTCGAGTTTTGCCTGAAGTGCGCTGTGATGATATCCTACTATGTCTGACATGGCATGACAAGCCGATGTGATAACTCTGCCGTTAAGAGTCTCAAATAGACTTAACCGTACCGGCTCGGATGAGAGGAATTTGTAGATGCGCAGCAAGGGAGTCATTGTCAGCCCAATAAACAGGACATAGAACAAGTTAATGAAAACTACAGTGCACCGCATCACTGGCAGAGGGATGCCAATGGCTGAGGCCGTTTCGTTAGATACGATTTCGACTAATGCATGTGCCACGCTCCCTTTAAATCCGCCATAGGAAATGAAAAACATCATGCCCAGTGTAATTTTTTGACTTGTCCACAAAAAGTAATTTGCGAGGAAGGAAGCCATGAATACAAAAACAAAGCGCGAACATATGCACAGGATTGTAGTCCAAGCAACAAAGGCTGTTTGCCAATTGAGTTCATGGGAGGCAATAGAAAAACCAACATAGAGGAAGATAAGTGAATCAGCAACTGCACTGGTCATTTGGGCAAAGTGGCGTATTGTAGTTACGGATTTGTGGGAAATATTATGAAATGTAAAGGATGTTAATACAGAACAAAACAAAATAAGGTAAAAAGTGCTAGGCCAGGAGCAAATGTAAGTTATTATGTATCCGGTATAACAAAGGCAAAATACAATAACTGGTTCTAGCGTCGTTTCATGATTCGTCCAACGCGTAACAGCACTCGATATCACCCCAAAAATGAGACCAGTAATAGCAGAAAGGCAAACTTGGAAACAAAATGACAGGAGCATTAATATAAACCACGACGGTATTCCCAAGCTATCAACACTCTGCATGTGTGAGCCGGCAGCTCTATTGGTCATAGTGAATAAGCTTAATGAAACACCATCATTGATTAAGGACTCCCCAACAAAAAGAAGATAAAGGAATGGATGTACTTTTAGCTTTCCTAGTAGACCCAACACAATTGCCAGATCCGTTGAGCAGATGAGACTTGAAAACAAAATAAAGCCGATCGGTTTAACAGCAAGATCTTCCAGACCCAGGGCTCCCAACACGTGCACACCCCACAAGCACAAACCAGTAATAGTGAAATTGAATATAGATCCCACAAAGCCAAAGACAATGACGGACGTAAATAATCCATGCGTAATAATATTTTTAAAGTCAAGAGCCGCATTGATTGCAAGTGGGGGAAACAATACGCCAAAAAAGAAGAACTCGTTAAAGAAAGTCATTTCACACTTTAAAGTCTTTGAAAGGTGGCCAAATGCGACCCCAAAGAAAAGCAGTAGAGGTGGTTTTGGTAGAATAACGAAAAGACACTTCCATTTACTATAGAACAATTCTATAGTACAAAATACAAATATAAATGCGATTGCCAAAAATAGAATTCGGACATGTTCCCATTGATTTGCAGACCAAAAATTGATCTGAAGAATGTGAAGAGCCGAATTGTGCTGTGATAAATTCATAGTTAATTGAGAATTGTTTGATAAATGGTAAGCGTTTCAAAGCGACCTGCTA